AAGTCATCGTCCCTACGATGAGCTATTTTGTGCCTGATCTTTAACTTCCTTGAAATATGGTTTTAAAAAGTTCTTTCCTTATATCACAACATGTTCTTTTAAATGTAAAACTTCCTCATTCATTGCAAAGTATATCTGCAAGACCTCAAAACATTCCCCAATTAACCTCGCTTAGCAGCTTCAGTTTCTTTGATGGGTCTGTTTTTGTATTTATCCCTGAGACACAGAACACATCTCCTCTGCTAGCATTGCATGACTGGACACTCCCACAGTGTTTGTTCTTGCATATATATATATATATATATATATATATATATATATAATGTATGCATAATTTTTTTTTGGCTCATTCTGGGATAAATCAAATATGCTTAAGACAGAACCCGCCTCATGGAGATCCACGCTATTCTTCCTGATTCCTCTGCTGATTATTATTGTTTTAAACAAAAGGAAAGAGTCTTTTAGGTAAAGAATAAATTCACAGGTGAGACACTCTTTACTTTGAATCTAGGGAATTAACCATATGCTTACAAAGCCATGATGTTTGTAAAGATTGGAAATTATTGAAAAAATATCAAATGTTGTCCAGAAGTTTTGGAAAGGCTAAAGATGCGCAAAACCAAGCTGATAAAAATCAAACCATGGTATTAATCCTAACATTAAATAAGATGGAGTTCTTTCAAAGCTTAAGTTTTCCTTTCATTTGTCTTCAGTAGGACAAAGTGTCCCATGTGTCTCCCTTTTAAATGGGGAAAGATTTGACTTAAAATTAGTTTCAAATGGTTATAAAGACTTAGTGCGTGAACAAGCAAACATTTAGGTTATAAAACATCATTTCTAGTTTGATTCTGTCTTCCAGGGTGCTGTCCATGGTGCTGGACCATCAACTGGACGGAGTGATCTATAAATTTCCTTCAATAAAAAACAGGGAAAATAATTCAGTCCTAAAAATATTGTAGAAATGGGGCTTAAAGGGTCAAGGCTGTTATTTTGTTGAATAGAGAAGAAAATGGGGAAAATAAATAACCAGTTATTTTTATTTATTTGATCTGATGTGGATTATAAAGAGTATAATGAAGGATTCATGAGGTTACAGCCTGTGACTATAAAACGCTGCAGCGGGAGAAAAACAACCAACATTTTCTAAGCTGAGTTAACATGAATTTGCATGAATGAACCAAAACAAACCTTAAAGTAAAGCTATAAGGTCATAATTAGAGATACTTTATATCTCAGCATAGTGGAGGCCCAAAAGAAATGCTGCCTTTCACAAAATTATTTAGGCGTTTCCTTTGCATACACTGTGCATTCCTCTCTTTGTTAGATTTTAAAAATTCGATATTAAGGCCGGTGTTCTGTCAGACCAGCATACCCATCGTCGATACGCATGAGCAAGACGTCAGGTTAGCATACGCCTATTCTAGTCCTGTTTATCCCTTCAGTTTTATCTGAAAAATAGACTTTGAACTACCTCGATCGGCGTGTATCCCTTTACTCATCTACAAAAAGCTATTTAAGGTTGGATCGCATATGCTTCAAAAAACACCTAAAAGTAAGTAAATATTTTTTTCTACAAAACTAAAGGGATAAACGGGCATTGACTATGTGTATGCGGGTCTGACAGAACACTGTTTTTTTTTTTTTTTAATGTGGATGTTGATGAGGTTCAGGTAGATGTACCTTAAAGGGGTTGGTTTTCTTTCCGTTATTGATTTTAGGACTAATGGAGCGTGAGGCATTGTTCTTTGTTTTTAATTGGGTTTAAAATTAGTGCATTTATCACTCCATTAAAGTACAGCATTCCCACCTTATCTCCATTCTACATGTTGTGAGGGACAAAGCATTTCCGCTATGGAGGACACAGGAAAATGTCTTCACAAACGGGGAAACAGATAAAACAGGTGGAGGAGACCATCACAGCTTCCATCTCCAATAAACAGGAAAAAAGTCTCACATACTTGGCTGCATCCCCATTTAACTGTCAATAACCTATAACAAAAATGGCCGATCAGTTTTTGTCCCTAACTGAGTTCTGAAACAAGGCTGATAAAAATCGGATCATTGGTCGTGTAGATACTCCAGTTCACTCCATCTTTGATTCTATTCTCCTCCATAGATTGTCTTCTGTCCTAAACAGTCCAAGGTTTTTACCCACCAGAAATCTAAAATGATTTTAGTCTCAGTTTTAATCCAGATTTAACATTCACCTGTTCAGGACTAATTTTGTTACTAGAAAATTCAAAATGTTATTTGATGTTTTTGTCATAAGCTCAGAACTTAGGACCCAGTCCTTAAGGTGAGACAGACAGTGGGACGATTCAAAGCGTTTATTAAAATCAGGATGGGGTGCTGTGGATCTGCAGCGGCTACGGGGGGAGGCAGGGCACCGCCCATCCCCGCGGATAGCCACCAGGCTAGTGGTTAGAGCAGTGCTCGGTTTGAGCCCTACAGCCTCCACT